TGTTCATCAACATGTTAGCTAAGCTCTCTGCTAGTACTCCCGACATAGCTGTCACCTGAGATGCAGTTGGATTGATAAATGTACATAGATGTGATAGAACTATCTAGCTTATCCTTCTTTTATGTCCCAACTAGGGAATGACAAACATCGGTTTGCTGCTTAAAAGGTTTGTCATATACTATTGAAAAGTCTCTGGAATAAAATCTGACTTGACAAGTCACCATTAATTTGTAATTTAATCAACGGTAGTCTTTTCCGTACTGTCATAGTCTCACATTTTCTTTCCGATGTTTTCCTATATTTGTATGAAACACAATCAACTGCTAATTCAATCGATTTACTTCTACGAAAACTGGACACGAACAAGTTTATTCTTGTTGTTAACGATATACTTCACTTGTATACTTCCAATTTGAAGCCTGCTCGCGACATGGTGATTGACCTCGCCTAGTTTATCAGCCTGTCAGTTTTCTAATTGATCCCAAACCCGGGTGGGGTGTGGGGCTAGGGACCCCACACCACAAAACCAATCGTACTGCTAGAGAAACCTCAGAGCACAAGAAAAATATTAACAATACAAAAATTATAGGAGACGAACTTATTGTTTCCTGGAATCGGAGAGGCGAAATGACACAGTGGGCTGAAGAGCTGAAAGCCAGTCAGCCAGCTGATATGTCTTTTCTCAATGAAAGCCAGAGTAAGAATGGGGACGTGGAATATACGTGCAATGTTCGAGGCTGTGAAGGGTGTCCAGTGAACCAAAGAAATGATAAAATACGACATAGAAGTGCAAGAAATCCGTGTGAGCAGACATAATAGATGTGCACTGTCAAAATTGTCAACTGGAGAGTCAATAATGTATTCATATCACTGAAAACGAAAGGTGCCTACCGATTGGAACAAAGGCTGGCTACCTTATCAAGCTACTGAACTAGGGCGACCTAGTGAGGCCTCAGCAAGAAGTGACTGACGTGGAATAATGTTCTTGTCCACGTCAAGTAAAATATGAAGTCGTGTCATCTAGTAGAGACTAAATGATGCGGTGGATAAAGACTTGTAGGCAGGCAAAAACCAACAAACTGGTTGAAGAGGCGAGAAGCGAAGACAGGACTCCAGGTGAGCACAGAGATCAGGAAGGAGGTGATGAAGACAATCGACCAACAGCAACAACGGCAACAATAACCAGCACCAATCAATCACGATCAACAGGAGAGATCTAGCAGAGGTTGCTTCCCACCTTCACTTATCTGACCAGGAAGCGTGGTTTCAACCACAGTCCGGCGGAGAGGATAAAGATATCAAAGCTAGTCAGTCAGGCAGCCAGAATTGGAAAGGCGAGATACGCCTTCATCAACCTGGAACCAGTTTAAAATCTTCTGCATTAAAAGAGCATAAACAACATCAAGATTCGGATCCTCAACACAAATGTTAAGCCAATCAGCTAGTGCTTCTATGTGGGTCAGAAATTTGCCCTGAGCGTGAGTCATGAAAAGGATTTCCAACAGGCGACTGCTGACTTTTATCAATAGCTGCCATCTTACCTGATCCATAAAAAAGATCAAATGATCGGCCGGCAGGCAGGTCAGAAAAAATTAGCAACAGTAGACTCTGTCTTGGAACAAATCAACCATAAGCTCAATATTCCACACGGAATCCTAAGCGCTAATAATACTAGAGAATGAAGCTTGTAATAATAATCGTGGGTAATAATAGTAATCAGAATAGTTGAAGACTTTCCGAGTTGCTTGTGTGTTTTGTGCTTCTGCGTAGGTGTAAAGTTGGCGAGAGCAATGAACGTGCAAATCATCATTGATTGTTGTGGTTGGATCTAGTTAGCTCTTTGGTCAACTATCATCTGTGTCACATGGAATAAAAGATGAATGGAATAAGATCAAAATGTTACACAACGCATTATGAAGAAACAGCATGACGGTAACACGCAAAGAGGAGTATACTACTACTACTACTTAACTTGATTGTGTGTTCCTTAAAAATGATTTACTCCTCCTCACCATCTTCCATATTTTGAAGATGTCCACTAAAATTGATTATTTGCTTCCTCATACGCATATTTTACAAAATATGCATATCGAGACATTAATGTAAGTACAAGCAGTTCAACGAAGAAGTCTCTTTTGGCCGGGGAATTCATTCACTTAGCAGGTACAATTGCAATGATACAAATAATTATTTTTTGTTTGTTTGTATGTGTGTGTGTGCATTAGGGTTTGTCCAACAAAAATAAAAACTAGTTAGGGTTATTGTTTATGTCATAAAATAATCAGATTGTAACTAGAAGGAAGAGGGGGGGTGAAGATTGGTAAGTCTTGACTAGGGTTACATAATATGAAAGATAATCGCACGACTTCCTAAATTCATTTATATAGTTCCATTGTTTTTCACTTGATTTGATTGGTAATAGTATTTTCCATATTTCAGGTATGAGTGATGAGTCATTCCTATTGCATGTGTTGGGTGTAGACTCGATGAACCAGACAGGCTTCAGTAATCAACCTCTCTCTCCACCTATCTAGATTACTTTTTAGAATTTTAACCCTCTCCCACCATCCTATTGTGTGGTTGTGTGTTAATGCATGCATTGCAAATTGCTGAGCTTTTTTCTTCTCGGGGTCAACCATTCTTAACTTAGCTAAATTCTTATGTTCTGACACTCTGACTCTACCCCCGACCTACTAGTTTGACCTATGTAGTTGACCTCATTCACAGTCATTGCAGGGTATTTTGTAAATTATATTATTTTGTCTAATTTGGTCAAATGGGTCCTTTAACCTACAGAGCTAGTCCTGCCTGAGTGAGTTTGTATGTTTAAATGCCACCCTATATATATTCCATGGACGTCAGAAGAGGGACTGAAGCGGTAAACCCAGCCAGTCCAGAACCACCTCCAGCTGCTCTAGGTCCCAGCATCGTTGTACGTTGTTGAATTGCTTCTTGTTCTTCAGTCTGAACCCGCTCCAACTCCAGGATTAGTTGAAGAAAACACTGAGTGGCTGTGCTGGCCAGGAACTATGTAACTGACCTGCTAATAGAATAGGCTGACTCAATACCACTAGTAGCTGCATCAAAAAGAACCGAAGCGGCATGGCGAACTGGCTCAGGAAACATTTCAGTGAGACCAATAAGACGTTCAGTGATGCTTTCATCTTCAATATCGAAGTCCTCACTGTCACCAGGAACATCTCCTATTTTGTTCGTGCTCTTTGTATAAGTGATGATTTCGGAGCGAGTTTTTCGGGTGGTTTTACTTGTTTCTTTCGACTGGTGATGATTTGACAGAGATAATACTGGCTTGGATTCGCTACCGCTTGTGGTTACGTCGACAGTTTCGGCTGAATAGTCAGGAGCTGGAAATACGGTCAAATCAGATGATTCCTAAGAAACTTCGATTATAAGATCTTAAAGTCCATAGCATGCGGGGACAAGCTCTGTAGGTTAAAGGACCCATTTGACCAAATTAGACAAAATAATATAATTTACAAAATACCCTGCAATGACTGTGAATGAGGTCAACTACATAGGTCAAACTAGTAGGTCGGGGGTAGAGTCAGAGTGTCAGAACATAAGAATTTAGCTAAGTTAAGAATGGTTGACCCCGAGAAGAAAAAAGCTCAGCAATTTGCAATGCATGCATTAACACACAACCACACAATAGGATGGTGGGAGAGGGTTAAAATTCTAAAAAGTAATCTAGATAGGTGGAGAGAGAGGTTGATTACTGAAGCCTGTCTGGTTCATCGAGTCTACACCCAACACATGCAATAGGAATGACTCATCACTCATACCTGAAATATGGAAAATACTATTACCAATCAAATCAAGTGAAAAACAATGGAACTATATAAATGAATTTAGGAAGTCGTGTGATTACCTTGATATGATTATGAGCAATAATTTGTGCTCTAAACATGGTCATCAGTAAACATTACTGTATAACAACACTGTGAGACTTTATCAAAACAAAATTTACCCATAATGGAATTACACTCTACCACAGTGCACAAGTTTTATTCTTATAATATGTAAGACGTCTAGAAAAATACGATATTTATGAAATAGCATGTATACAAGTGTGCAAAATAGATAAATTATGTAGTAGGTAGAAAGGGTGAATAGAGGGTTAATTAAGAGAAAAAGATATTGCTAAAAAGTGCACTTAATAGAATTAGTAACAAAATAGTTGGACTTGGAATTATTCCCAAAGTGTAGAAGGAGAGAATAAAGAAGGTTCTTCTATTTAAATGAATCAAGGTTTTTCATACGAATCTCTAAGGCCTCGTCAATGCAAAGTATGTGGAAGTTTACCGCTTTCGTGAGGCATCTTTTGACTCTAATTGGTGGGTGGTGACTAGCATTGGAATCAAGGGTGCGTATTTCGTCCTATTTGGGACTCGTCAGCTGGATGTACCTGCATTTCTCAGTGAGTGATAATGTTCCCACCGAGGCTCGAACCCAGTCACCATAGTCTCAAACGCCAAAGCGTTATCCACTAGACGACTTGGGCCACAAGAGCCACCTCTTGTGCAACGGGTCATATTGTGATTATTTCATTGAATTTTTGATTTTCCCGTCTTTTGATTGGAGCGAAGTGCTCAGTCTCAGGTTGGCACGTCGGCTTCTTGTGCAGATGCTTCGACGATGTCTGGTATTTAATTAGTATTTAACTGATGGATTAAGTACCCAGACATCGTCGAAGCATCTGCACAAGAAGCCGACGTGCCAACCTGAGACCGAGCGATTGTACCTGCTAAGTGAATGAATTCACCGGCGAAAAGAGACTCTTGTCTGAACTGGTTGTTCTTACTCTCGTATTTGTTTATTGTAGGTGGTTGGTGGTAGTACCATAGCCGCAGCAAAAAGATATTAGCCAGGGGGTAGGGGTAAATGTTTCTTTGTTTATTTAACAATAAGTGAAAGTTTTCCTGTCTGTTTTTATGGCATTTTTAATTTCTGACTTAATTTCACTAACTTCTCTCTTTTAGATATCGGAATGAAATGTGAAGAATGTGGTGAACGATTCATCTATAAGTCAGACTTGGATAAACATTACAGAGCAATTCATACAAGTGAGTGAGGGATGCTGCTGTTGTCACCGATGATGATAGTTTGTGTGATTATTCTGTGTAGAAATTTCACTTAACATATAAATTTTATCAAATTCTCAATGTCTACTGTGATGAAAAGTTCACCTTCTGATGGTAGTCAGTTAGTTGGTTAGTTATTTAGTTAGTTTTACTGTTGGCCCTGACAGATTTACAAAAACTTGTTTAGATCTCATTAACAATAAAGCGGAATTTGAACAAAGCAAGAACTACAGTTTTAGCAGAATAAAATGGTACCATCATTGTTGATTTCGTTGCCTTCTCGTCAGCTGCTTACATGGCAAAGACATTACTAAATATATCTACAAAAACAATTTTGACATACTTGCATAGAGTTCATTTTAAACAAAAATAAATCGATCAATATACGCATACACTAAATATATATATATATATATATATATATATATATATATATATAAATAAGTGGTTGCATTCCTATTTTTCTGATAGGAAGCAGTACACCGTCTACAATGGAAAGTCCTCCACTACCTCACTTACTTTAGCTGGTGTTCCTCAAGGGACTGTTCTTTCTCCCTTTCTGTTTTCGTTTTTCTTACATGACTTGCCTCATTCTGATGTAGCCACTTTTGTTAAGTATGCCGATGACCTCTCGGTTTCTATGCCTGTCAACTCTCAGTCGGATTGTTCCAAATTAAATAACTTTCTGTCAGAAATTAGTCAGTGGTCCTCTTCAAACGGACTTAAGCTTAATCCGTCTAAATGTCAGGTAGTCAATTTCACTTTCAGACGTAAATCTGACCTACAGCAACTAGTTAGCTCACATGGCCCCACTATCATTGACGGCACAGAGGTTGAAAATACATCTAATGTCAAATACCTAGGGCTGAGTTTTTCCACCGATCTTTCCTGGTCTTCTCACATCTTGCTAGTTACTAGAAAGATGTTTCTACATTAGGAAATTTAGGCAGTCTGGTATAAAGCAATCTTTACTTTCTCAGTTTGTCAATTCTTGTATTCTACCCATCCTCCTTTACTGCTCCCCATTAATCTTTCCTGGACTATTTAAGAAAGACTTTCCTTCGCTGAGAAGGGCACTAAAAGCTGTTAGTAGGGCAAGTGGGATATCGTTAAACCAACTGGTTAACACTATTGTAGATAGACATATTGCGTCATGTAAAAAACTAGCGAATACAATATTGTCGGACCCCGAGAATCCTCTCTATACGCATCTATCTCCTTGCATTTCATCTGGTAGAACTAGAAGTAGCTATAGGCGGGTATATGCTAGGACTACCAAATACAAAAACTCCACAATACCATATCTGGCACAGCTGTTATGTGATGAGAAATCCGTTAGGTATGACACGATAAACTTACTGTGGCACTCTAACAAATAGTCCCATTAGATTTTGTTTTCCTTTCCTCGTTACTATTACACTGTTGTTCTCATCTTCTATCACACATCAACTTTATATTTCATATCCTGTGGTGCATTGTTTGAAATGTAAACTCTACGCTGTTTTTCTATTTTTATTTATTTAATTTATTTATAACTTATTTATTTTATTTTTATTTATTTATCTTTGATTTCAAAAATCTTATATAATTTATGAGGTAATTAGATGGAATATACTGTAATGCATGCGGAAAATTCCATACCTGTACCACAAATACCGTTTGGAATAAAGCTGTTATTATATATATAATATTAAACATTATTCCGAACAATAATAATCATATACAATTGAAACTTTTCAGCATTTCGCATTCAGATGAAAGAGAGGTGAAAATATGCAGTTTACCAGTCAGGGCAAAGAGAGTCTGATAACCGCTTCTTTCTGGACTCATAAATCAGGTTTCAGGCGCTTGATGGAAATGGCTTCAGCAAACTTGAGGAGGATTGAACACTTTGGCCTACTGATAATTTTGAACGACTTTTCGACGTCCATGTCATGACCCGTGTCGAGGATATTTTCAACTTTCTTCCGAATGCAAAATGTTAAAAGTTTCCATTGTGTATGATTATTATTGTTCGGAATAATGTTTAATATATATATATATATATATATATATATATATATATATATATATATATATATATATATATATATATATATATATATTATATATATATATATATATATATATATATATATATATATATATATATATATATATATATATATATATATATATATAGTGTATGCGTATATTGGTCGATTTATTTTTGTTTAAAATGAACTCTATGCAAGTATGTCAAAATTGTTTTTGTAGATATATTTAATAATGTCTTTGCCGTGTAAGCAGCTGACGAGAAGGCAACGAAATCAACAATGATGGTACCATTTTATTCTGCTAAAACTGTAGTTCTTGCTTTATTCAAATTCATTAAGGGGAATAAATGTATGAAATAGAGTGGAATTTCATACATTTATTCTCCTTTATGAATTTGAATAAAGCTAAAAACAACAGTAATATGTGGAGAATAAGATGGTAGCATTATTGGTTATTTCGTTGGCTTCTCATCAGATGCTTATAGTCTAAAGAAATTATGAAGTTTATATACTTACCCAGAGAGTTGAAGTTTAAACAAAAACATTAATGTTTGCATACAATGGTAAAGACATCCAGTTCATCGCCATGGCTGAGGAGAGACTGACAACTGCTTCTTTCTAAACACCTAAATCAGGCGTTTTAGGCGTCTGTTGGAGATTGTTTTGACAAATTTGAGGAGAATTGAGTTCTTTTGTCTATATGCGATGTCCACCTCAGGATCCGTGTGAAGGAGATGCCTGACAGTGGCACTTTTGAAAGTTTTTGTCACCTTGAGACCTAGACATTTTGGTACATGTCCATAAAATCCGTGGTGTGCTATTCTTTCTGTTCTTCCAATGTGACTGCTTCCACAGATGAATATAACGGGAGAGCATATGTATGTATATGACTCGTTAACGGAACATCTGATGAACTCAGGAAACTCAGATCTATTTGAAATGTCCTTGAAAGTCTTATGCAAGGTTCGATCAAACCTATCAAGGTAACTGGAGATAGCTGAGGCACTAGCGATGCAAAAGTTCAAGCACGTGTTATGCGTTCAAGAGAACTGCGTTCATGACCCCCAGATAAAGTCTTTCTTTTCAATAATGATTATCTTATTACCTTTCTTAACTAATCTTACGTTATTTTTATTTTTTTTAAAGTCCTACTATCTGCATTACCATGTTTTTTTTATTATCCGAATTTACTGCTCTATTAACTTATTGAAGCGGTAAATGACGAAAGATCTTTGTGTTGTGGTATTTCTGGACTTCATATTGTCTTTCTTTGTGTTCCTTTCTCGTCTCCCATGTATTCTCACAACGGTGTGTCATTTGCCTTCTATGAAATCAAGTGTATCTTCATGCTATTTGATGTTTTTATGCTGATGCACGTGTCTTTATACACTATCGATAAATCTTATCAGTAGCATTTGCCAAATTATTCCTGCGTTAAGTTTCTCAATAATTATGATCCTACTTTGTTTTTTTTTAATCTCAACTTCCTGTTTAGTACACTTTGTGATTTTATTAACTTTATCCTTGACCGGAAATACTCCAGGAGCCTTTTTACCCATTCACTCTATAAGCACACGAATGTACTACAGGCCAGTTGATGATTTAGTCGAAAAGATAATTTTCTTTGGTTACAGGGTTTCATCATGAGCTGACATTGGTTAGAGAGCCATTAGAAAACCTGGAAGTACTCGACAGCTGTTCCATCCTAGTTTGGGACTCTTCATCAGTACGCACCCACCGGGGTTCTAACCCAGGAACTTCAGGTTACCTTGCCCTGTTCAGTTAGGTAGTTACCTGAGGTTCCAGTGGGAAGTCGTGACCAGTACGGTGCAGAAGGTCGGGTGTGAGGACAAATACTCGCTACCAAAGACATTGGCTAGCTGTTGCGCTATATCGTGAATTGGGAGGTGTTAGAATTCATGGACCATTAGATCGGGTTCCAGTGGCTTAATGGTCTACGAGCTCACCATGTAACCAGAAGGGCCTGGGTTCGAACCCCACGATGTGGGTGCGTACTGCTGAAGAGTCCCAAACTAGGACGGAGGAAACAGCTGTTCAGTACTCCTAAGTTTTCCAATAGTTCTCTAATTAACGTCAGCTCATGATGAAATTCTGTAACCAATCAACCAAATCCCTACAAACCAATACTTGAAAATTTTCTTCACTGCAACTGTCTTCGTTATTCAGCCATAAGTCAGCCATTCGAGTTGTGCTGTCTATTTGAAATGAGCTGTTGTCAGTAATGTATTATGATTGTAATGTATATATGACTCATGCGTGAACAGATTACTACTACAGTAGATTTGAACAGAAGTTTTTGTTTTGTTTTGTTGTTTTTTATCTTGCACAGATTTAAAGTATAACTGTGACTACTGTGAACAGACGTTTAGTTGGAAGGCGACATTATATGAACACAAACGCTCTGCACATAAAGGTAAGCGCCTTTTTTTCTGCCTTTCTTTTTTATAACCATTCTAAACAAAGTAACAGGCATAAAATGGACTCACACAAAAAACTTCGAGGATCTGGACTTCGCCCGCGATGATATATGTCTGATTTCCCACAAACTGAAAGACATGCAAGTGATGAAAGGCAAGAAGCTGGCAGAAGAAGCATCAAAGATAGAACTTCACGTCAGGTGAACAAAGAGAAAACAGAGGTGATGAAGATTCCTGGCCAACGCCAACAGCAACAACAACAGACAACAATCAGCCAGCATAAATGGGAGGAACCTGAAAGAAACAACCTCCTTCACCTACCCACCTGGGAAGCATTGTTTCAACTACAGACGGACGGAACTGACGAGGATATCGAAGAAGCCAGAATCGGAAAAGCAAGACAAGCTTTCATTACTCTCAAGTCTGTGTGGAGGTCAACAGCACTCAACATCAAAAATAAGATCTGGATTTTCAACTCCAATGTGAAGTCAGTCAGTCAGTGCTACTATACGGATCAGAGACTTGGCGCATCATAAAGAGCATGTCAAACAAACTTCAGATCTTCATGAACAGGTGCCTTCACTCAGTACTCAAGATGTGATGGCTGGCCAGAAAACATCAGCACCAGGGATCTCTGGCAATGAGCGAACCAACACAGCAGGAACCGATCATGAAACAAATAAGCAGGAAGAAACGGAGATGGATTGGCTGGCCATACGCTGAGTAAACCATCAAGTGACATCACTAGACAATTCATCGCTCGAGTGGAACCCAGCCGAAGGAGAAGCGGCGAGTTGGTCGTCAGTGCAAGTGTGACTTGGAGGAGGTTATGGGAAGAGGAGATGAAAGCATGTGTAGAGACTTGGAGCGGAGTGAAAATGTTGGCAGAAAACAGGAGGCAATGGAGACGCACAGCTGAAGTCATATGTTCCTTTAAGAATTAAAGGATATAGAAATAATAAATAATAATAACATGTTTCTGATCCGTATAGAAGAACTGACTTTATGTTTGTATTGAAAATCCGAATTTTGTTGGTGATGCTGAGTGACGAAGATTTTCAGTTTGATTTCAGGTTGATGAATGTGTTTCTCGCCTTCCTGATTCTCGCTCGATTTGACATCCTCGTCCGCTCCTCCTGTAGTTGAGACAATGCTCCCTAGATAAGTGAATGAAGTAACCCCTTTCAAATCCCTCCCGTTGATGGTGATTGACGTTGGATGCTGTTGCTGATGTTGGTTGGTTATTTTCATAACCTCCGTCTTGTCTATGTTTACCTGGAGTCCTGTCTTCGCCGGCTGCTTCTTCGACCAGTTTGTCGGTTTTCGCTTGTAAGTCTTCGATTTTGTGTGACATCAAACATAAATCATCCACGCGCGAAATCCAGGTCTTCTAGGTTCTTCACGTCGGTCCAGGGTATTCCTGTCTTCTCGTTTCCCACTGTCTGACGCATAATCCAGTCCACCACAATTAGGAATATCATTGGTGATAATAAGCACCCTTGTCTGACTACTGTGTTTACTCCAAACACCTTGCTGAGTTTTCCGTTGTGGATCACTTGACATGTGCCGTTGTCGTACAGCTGTTGAATGGGGTCAATGGATATTTGGGGTACGCCGTAGTACTTGAGTAGTTTCCAAATTACTTCACGATCAACGCTATCGAAGGCCTTCTCAAAGTCTATAAAGTTGAGGTAGAGGTTTGATTGCCATTCCATGCTTTGTTCTGTGATGATGCATAGAGTTGCAATTTGGTCAGTACATGATTTGCCTTTCCTGAATCAAGCTTGTTCTGGTCGGATTTATGTATCCAGTGCGTCCTTTATCCTCTCCAGGATGATGCGACTCAGGATTTTACTTGGCGTCGACAGGAGCATGATTCCTCGCCAGTTCTTGCATAGTGAGACGTAAGTCGCCCTTCTTTGGTAGTTTCACGAGGTAACCTTTCCTCCAGTCAGTAGGCACCTTTCCCTCCTTCCAGACCTTTTGCAATAGTGGAGTCAGCATGTCTGCTGTAGTCTCTGGGTCTGCTTCCAGTGCTTCAGGGGGTATTCCATCTGGTCCGGCTGCTTTTCCAGCTTTCAGAAGCTTGATTGCGTTCAAGACTTCAGCTCTCGTTGGAGGATTGGTGTCAACTTGCAGTTGTGTGCGCGCTGTTGTTGGTATATCTGGACGGGTTGCAGGTGGTGGTCGGTTTAAGAGTCCTTTGAAGTGATCCGCCCATTTTTTAATCTGTTTTTCTACCTTGGTAATTGGGTTCCCTTGGCTGTCTTTTATAGGTTTCGCTTGTGTTGGTCTCTTCCCGGATAGAGATTTGGTTATCTGATATAATGTCCTCAGGTCCCTTTTGCCTGCTGCCTTCTCAGCTTCAGTAGCGAGGTTGTCGTAGAATCGTCTTTTGTCCTTCCTAGCACTCTTCTTCACTTCTTTGTCCAGTGCTGTGTAAGTTGAGCTCAGCATCTCTTTCTCCTGTCCGTTTTTGCATTGAATCATTTTCTCTTTCACCATTGTCCTCTCCTCTATTAATTTCCAAGTGTCCGTTGAGAGCCATTCCTTGTCTTGTCTCTTCTTTCTTCCTAGAACCGTTGAACACGTTTCGTTGAGAATCGCCTTCAGAGACTTCCAATGTTCTTCCACGCATGATTCTTCAGTGATGTCGCGTAGTGTTTCCTGCTTTGCTCTGACAGTTGCAGTGAAGGTGTCTTTTGTGGTTGTGTCCTTCAGTAATTGAGTGTTGAACTTGCATTGTGGCCTATCCCCAGCTATCCTCGAGGCTTTTAGTTTCACCTTGAAAGTCCCTTGTACTAGATAGTGGTCTGAACCCACATCTGCTCCTCTCCTTGACCTTGTGTCCAGTAGGCTCCGTCTCCACTTTCTTGAAATTGAGATGAAGTCTATTTGGTTCTTGGTGTTTCCATCTGGTGAAATCCATGTCGTCTTGTGTATATCCTTGTGTTTGAACACACTACCACCAATCACCAAATCATTGAAGGCGCAGAAGTCTGAGAAGAGTTCACCATTGTCGTTCATTTCACCGAGGGCCTCACGACCCATGGTGAGTTCTCTTCCTGTGTTGTCTCCTCCCAGCTTCGCATTCATGTCGCCCATCAGGATTTTGATATCGCCATTTGGGACGTTGTCCATTATTGCTTGTAGTTGTCTGTAGAACGCCTCCTTCTTCTCTTGTTCTGAGACGTTTGTAGGCGCATAGCATTGAATGACTGTAACTTTCCTTCCTTTTGAGTTGAACCTGGCTGTCATTATCCTGGAGGAGATTGGTTCCCACTGCATGAGAGCTTTGGTTGCTGTTGGTGACATCATGATGGCCACTCCCTCGGTGTGCTCATGGTTGTCCTCTGGGTGGCCGGAAAAGATTACTGTCTCTCCAGTAGGTAGTTGGCACCTTCCAGTTCCGTTCCATCTGCTTTCGCAGATTCCCAACACTTCTATTCTGTACCTTCTCATTTCAGCGGCTATCTGGGCAGCCTTTCCAGTTTCGTACATTGTACGAACATTCCAGGTACCCATCCTTACTTTTGCTTTCATCGAAAGAAGGCACATCGGCTGACTGGCTTCCCGAAGGCTTTCACCAGCCTGCGTCATTTCACTTCCCCGATTCCAGCGAAAAGTAAGGCTATTGCTTATGTTTTTAGAATTTTTAATATATTTATTCGTTGAAGTTTCTGTAGCGATTTGGTTGTTTTACAGGGGTGGAGTTGCTAGCACCACGCCCCAACCCTCCCTCTTTACCCGGGCTTGGGACCGGCGAGAAAACTAGTAAGCTAGTAGCCTAGCAAGCTAGTATCTGGCGAGGTTAATAATAATAATAATTACTATTCAAGTTTTTGCGCTGCCTATAACTCCAAAAAACACCAAATTAACTAAATTTATTTGAAATATCACACACAGTGATAATGCAGTATTAACCAGTGAATGGCGTTTCATAATCATGTAAATTTAGTCACACACACAGCCTCCCAATTTGTCTTTTATCTTCCGCTTGTTTTTCTCTTGCCATTTTCCATATCTCCGGTAGAGGTGTTGCGTCATCCGACACGATTTCACGTGTGTGATGTTGAATCGATAAACAAAGCTTCAGTGATTAACCTCTCTCTCACTCTACCTGATTATATTACTTTTCAATACTCTCACTCTGCCCCACCCTATTTTGTATCTGTCTGTCTGGATTCAACACAGAACTTGGCACCGAAGTGCAGCAGATCGAGTTGCCACATTCCAAGTAGTACACAAAGGTAGACAAGAAGATGAATGTAGAGAATCAATAGAGTTTGACAAGTATGAGTTAAACAGAATGGGTAATGGTGGGAAGGAATATGAAAGATTACAGTGACTGAATACATATGCGCTGGCCATTGACAACGATTTTGAGCCATGTCACCTATTGTCTCCAGCCATTGATTCCTAGAGTCCCGACGGCCCCAACCCGGGAGTCTGCATCTCCCTACCTGACTCAGTTTAACTGTCAAGGATTTCATGGATTGATGCCATGTTTTTGTCTGGCCACCATTTACTCTTTTCTAACCTGCACTTATATCAGCTAGTAATGCCCGTCGTGGGGGTGGTGGTGGTGGTGGTCGTGATGGTTAGGCATGCGCACCACGTGACCGACCTAGCCATCTCAATCTATGTAACTTTATAGCCTCGTCGATTGATTATCCCTCTTTGCTCAACACTACGCCTAACGTCTACATTACTTACCTTATTATACCACCTAACGTGAGAAAGAGACCGCAGACATCTATGATCGAAAGCAGTCAACCTTTTCATGTCTTCAACTCGTATTGGCCATGTTTCAGAGCCATAGAGAAGGACGGAGCGAACTGATGAGCAGTACACACGTCCCTTGGTTGATAACCGTATGTCACGCCTACGCCAGTGAAAGCGTAAGTCACCGAAAGCAGCTCGAGCCTTTTGGATCCGTGCTGAGATTTCGTCGCCAATCGTCCGTTGGTGCCGATACAACTTCCCAAATATGTGAAGTGGTCAACATGTCATATCACTTCACTCCCTATCACTAAGCTAGGAGTGTTGACGTAGTCCAGTCCTTTAGCAGCATCTTACATTTTACAGGGGCGAATGGAATGCCAAACATACGAAGATTGCTGCTCTAGGTGTTCAGAAGACTGCTGGATTTTGTCAGCATCCTCCCCTAACAGGACTATGTCATCTACATATTCTAAGTCCATAAGACTATTCCCTGGTAACAAGTCGATTCCTAAGTACTTAAGTTCAGTTAAGGATACTTCCATTAGCATATCTATGATGAAGTTAAACAGAAGTGGGGAAAGTGGACGTCCCTGTCGGACACCACTGGTTGTTATCAATTCAGATGACAATTCCCCATAAGCCCTCACACGACTACGTGAGTTTGAATAGAGTGCCTTGATTAGTGCAATGTACTTTCTTGGCACTCCCTTCACAGTCAGACATTGCCATAGTACCTTTCGATCCACCGAGTCGAAGGCCGCCTTCAAGTCAAGAAATTTGGCAATTGTTGGACGCCGAAAAGTATGTCTGTGTTCTAGAATCTGTCGTAGAGTGAAGATATGATCTGTGCACCCTCTACCTGGTCTAAAACCTGCTTGATTTTCCCTCGTTTGTTCTTCCCGAGTTCTGCTTAGTCAATGCATGATTACTGAGCCTAGGATTTTAGAAACTGTGCGTTCGGTTGCTTATAGTTATTAATTCAATTGCTTTACATTACACTCTGTTTTTATTCTTTGCTTTTTCTAAACAACAAGGTGTATATTTCCAGTGTGACGAGTGTGAACTGTCGTTTGTCCGCAATTGGAATTTAGAAAAACACAAGAGAGAAGTGCATGATGGTGAGTTATGCCATAGTATGATTGTGCAGCATATATATGTATATAATTACTATGAGCTGGTGTTGCGTTATTCTGCTGCAAGAAAGCAATTAGTTAAACTGTTTGAACAGATTTGAGATCTCTTTCAGTTAACTTCAACTAGAAATAACACTTACTGCGTCTTCATCTATCCTGTTATACCTGAGCGTTGGCCATACTACCTGCTGACCGATTTCCTAGCCTAGCCCACCTAACCGCCTGGTGGCCAGATTGTTCTTAACACAGTCCCAATTAGTGAAGGGCGGATATAACTCTCATAGCTACTCAAAATGGTATTTATTAGCTAGTGATGACAGGAATATACTCTAGAGATACACAATTACACCACAACGCCGTCGGTAAGCTCTCGTCCCTTGCAAATGATACTGACCACCATGTGTTTCAATCTGCATAGAAAAATGGATTGACCGTTGATAGTGAAATGTCTGAGACTCAATTGAGGTTCTTTGATCCCCTACACTGGTACACGTTATAGAAAAGATTAGTAGCTCAAGTGGATGATTTGTAATTAATCGTGTTGTCTGAGCTGGTTGGTTTAGTTGCGGAGCTTTCGTCGTCTTTCTGCACAACATTCTCTTTCAGCGCAGTATTTAGCATAAAGTCAAATGATTTAAAATCTCCATGAATGATGATACAATAGCGTCTCCTGGGGACCAACCATCTTTACATATATGTATTGACCGTTTTCTATTGACTTGGGATTTTAAACTTACAACATACTGCCAATTCAATACTCAAATATATCAGGAAATAAAGGGAACACCAATGGGATCTCCCATATCAGGATTAATAGCTGAAGCCGTTATGCAAAGATTAGAATTAATAGCTCTACCTATAATTAAAACCGAAAATCTGGGTACGTTACGTTGATGATACATTTGTAATAATTAAGAGAAATTATTTAGAATATACCCATAAATTAATAAACAACATATTTGAAGACATCAAATTCACAAGAGCAGAAGAATTAGATAACACAATCCCATTCTGAGATGTCTTAATCAGGAGAATCAACACAGGAAATTTAGAAACACAAGTGTATAGATAATCAACGCCTACACACAGATCAAATGCTCACCTATTTTAGCAATAATCCAATTACTCACAAAAGAAACTGTGTGCAGACATTGTTTAGAATAGTTCAAACACACACTGTAGCACACCAGAGTTGAAAATAATGGAAGAAAAATACCTACAAACGGTCTTCAAGAAGAATAGTTATCCAAAAATTTCATCAAAAAGTGTTTAAAGTCGAATCAAAGCACCAACAAAGAACCATCATCAAAGACCAAATAGAAATGCATTCTACCATAAATCAGAAATATCTCTGAAATAACAGCTAGAATAATGAAACCGTTTGACATAGATGTAGCACACAAACCAGCCTAATCGCTTAATTCGATCTTAGGCAAACCAAAAGATCCGACAGAAAAAGGAGATAAAATTAATACCATTTTGAAAATAAATTGTATGGACTGTAACAAACATTACATCGGCCAAAGTGGGCGTCCCCTTCGAATAAGAATCCAGGAACACAAATCAGCCGTGAAGAGACATGATATAAATTTTTTAGTATCAATGTATACAGACAATTATGGACAAAAATTTGATTGGGATAGTGTCAAAATCTTAAACAGAGGAAACACCTAATGCAATGCCACGGAATTCCTAGAAGCCTGGTACTCAAATGAAAATGCAATTAATAAACACGTTAATATAGATGAAATATACCAACTAATAAAAAGTAAATCAGGTGGCCAGAAAGGTTAAAATCCAAGTCAATAGAAAACGGTCAATACATATGGTAAAGATGGTTGGTCACCAGGTGAAGCAATTGTATTATCATTCATGGAGACTTTAAATCATTTGACTTTATGCTATATACTGCGCTGAAGATGTCGTCCAGAAAGACGACGAAAGCTCCGCAACTAAACCAACCAGCTCAGAGAACACTATTAATTACCGTTACATGTGTTGAATGTTGATACGGTGAAGAAAGATTTCTTTCAACTAATCTAATCAACCCTACCTAGACTTACACTTGTTTGTTTAATTGTATGCACATACATACACAACGTGGTGACAATTTATTCATTATTAGTATCATCAGTATTTTATTCCTTTACTTTTCGAGTAGAGCATAGGCCTTCAAAATAGAACATCGGAGTTTCCGTAGCAGTAGCGTTTATTTTTACGGTGTGGATTTGTTAATCTCACGCCCCCAACCTTCCTTGTCTACTGGCCTTATTACTGGCTTAACGGGGTTTTACGTGTGTGTCGTGCGGGGTTCGAACCTTGAACCACATGGGGCCTGGTTGATGAGGGTTCTACTGCTGATCCACCAACGTATGGTGACCTAATTAGACATCTACCATATACCCCATTTTATCACTGAGGTGAAATTAACTGGCTAGTCAGACCAGTAAATCAGTATCACATATAATAGAGATGATGCAATACCACTTGTGGATATATGCAGAATTCGCATCAAGATGATCCACCGAAGATGAGTCTTTCAATGAATCTTTTACCGACCTGTACTGACACATATATATACCATTCAAAAGAATAGATATTTAAGTTGCGATAAAGTATTATATAATGAGGACGGGAGTAAGAAAAGGTTGGTTGTCTACTATCGCCAGTGATTTTCCCGATTGCAGGAGATTGGATAATGCGACAGACAGCGGCAGGCAATGAGGAAACAGGCATAAAATGGACTCACAAAAAACTTCGAGGATCTGGACTTCGCCCGCGATGATATATGTCTGATTTCCCACAAACTGAAAGACATGCAAGTGATGAAAGGCAAGAAGCTGGCAGAAGAAGCATCAAAGATAGAACTTCACGTCAGGTGAACAAAGAGAAAACAGAGGTGATGAAGATTCCTGGCCAACACCAACAGCAACAACAACAGACAACAATCAGCCAGCATAAATGGGAGGAACCTGAAAGAAACAACCTCCTTCACCTACCCACCTGGGAAGCATTGTTTCAACTACAGACGGACGGAACTGACGAGGATATCGAAGAAGCCAGAATCGGAAAAGCAAGACAAGCTTTCATTACTCTCAAGTCTGTGTGGAGGTCAACAGCACTCAACATCAAAAATAAGATCTGGATTTTCAACTCCAATGTGAAGTCAGTCAGTCAGTGCTACTATACGGATCAGAGACTTGGCGCATCATAAAGAGCATGTCAAACAAACTTCAGATCTTCATGAACAGGTGCCTTCGCTCAGTACTCAAGATGTGATGGCTGGCCAGAAAACATCAGCACCAGGGATCTCTGGCAATGAGCGAACCAACACAGCAGGAACCGATCATGAAACAAATAAGCAGGAAGAAACGGAGATGGATTGGCTGGCCATACGCTGAGTAAACCATCAAGTGACATCACTAGACAATTCATCGCTCGAGTGGAACCCAGCCGAAGGAGAAGCGGCGAGTTGGTCGTCAGTGCAAGTGTGACTTGGAGGAGGTTATGGGAAGAGGAGATGAAAGCATGTGTAGAGACTTGGAGCGGGGTGAAATAGTGCGTCGGTGGCACAGTGGTTAGGACTCTCGCCGACCATGCACATGGTCCGGGGTTCGAGCCCACGCTAACGCACACCTGATATCTATGGTTGGCCTGCGAAATTTGGGCTACCGATATCCATGCTGAAAATTCCATACTTGTACCAAAAATACGTTGTGGAATCAAGCTGTAATCAAAAATAAAAATAAATAAATAAATAGTTGGCAGAAAACAGAAGGCAATGGAGATGCGCAGCTGAAGCCATATGTTTCTCTAGGAATTAAAGGATACAATAATAATAATGATAATAATAATTATTTGAGACTTCGATCACAGTTAAACATCTAGGGGTCAAATCGGTTATGTAATGCGGAAAGTACTCCATGTAATCTACAAGTCTTAGAATGGGGCAATCTAAAATATTTCATAACCAGGTGTGAATATTGTTAATAAGATTGCGAAAAATCACTTGAAATCAAATAAATGAAGGGTGACAAGGGAGATAGCATCGGAAAGTGTTCAAAGTGTAAATAATAATAATAATAATAATAATAGCAATAATAATAATTGAATTAGTAAAGGGTAGGATATGCAAAATGAATAGACAAAACGAAAAATAGATAGGGCGAAAGCTGGAATGAGGATTATAATAGTTTAGCATAGACTCGCATAGATTGAGATAATGAAATAAAGGAGTAGTTGAACAACTTTCTTCTACATACAAAGTTCTGGTTTCTCTCTCTCTTCCGATTATCAGAGCTTCAGCAATGCAGAAGAATCGAATGCGCAGGCTATTTTACCCTTTAGAGATAACTTTAAAGGAAGAGGTGATAAAGATGAGATGACTAGTGTCGATCATATATTCAACTACTGAGCTTCTTATAGTAGCTGCATTTCCAACTCTTTGTAACCTAGTAGGGTAGTCTGTTGTACTCTATTTGACGAAGTCCATGTCGAACGACCTATGTATTTAGCTCCACAGGAGCAGGTAGGTTGGTAAACACACAGAGAGTTAGCCGACTGCATAGAATCTTGTCCTTTAGGTTATCGTGAGATCTTTACTTCAAGAATGTTGACAGCTAAGTCACCTTTGAGTTGAAGGTTCAAATGTATCATTAATTTCTTGGATACAAATGTGAAATAATATGGCATATGTTTTTGCAGCATACCTTTGTCTATAAAACATCATGGATATCTACTTTCCATCACAACATCTCTCAAAAGATTCAGCTCTTCTTCCATGGCGTAACAGCTACATACGGGGAATAAGAGTGACGAGTGATTGGATTGGCTTTCATTTTTAAACAAGGAGTACTTAGCTATAAATGACTCCGAGTAACCAGTCTAACACAATTGATGCCACCTTTTTTTTACAGTCATCCTGCATATTGTTGTCTAACTCCTTTTGAAAGAACACAGATCAACCTATATACCTGGTTTCAGAAGAGAATTTGAACTGATATACTCACAACGATTTGGTCATATATAAGGGATCTTGTTTGCCGAATTGATTAAAAGCAAACGACGACTAGAATACATCACCATCAGAGTTGTTACGAAGATGGCTTTCTTTAGAAAGTTAAGGATTTTTCTTTTTTAAGACATGTTGTGCTTATTCCTTCAGCCGCTCTCTCCGAAAGTCAGGGCTCTTATTTGGTGAGCAGGTGAAATGATAAGAACTCTCTTTATTGACTCATAGATGTCTAATTATAAAAATTAGTAATGTTGATTATTCATTCATAATATGAGTTTGACAAGCGGAGACATACAACTACATTCAGAGAGATAGCTTGAACACTAAATAACAGCCAACAGCTGAGATGGTATCACTTTGGTTTTCAAGATTTAAAGATGAAGTTGTCAGTTGACTATAAAGTTTACTCCTTGTTCATTTCACTTTTACACCTGAGTAGGTCAAGTTATTATTTCTTTAGGCGTTCCCATTGTTACTATCATTCTTTGTATAGGTCGAAAATTTCCACAATCCTGAATGCGACATAACAATTTTATTGCAAAAATCTTTTATAGTCAACACATGCAAAAATACATCACAGTTGGATGTTAGTCGATTTAGCGTATATACATCAGGATAGAAGGCGAAATATTATGAGTCAGCATTTCTCACGTGATCGATACACCAAATACTCGATCTCACACAACCTAATCTGAAGGTCAAGTCAGTCAATTTCTATTGGTAAATATTATCGTCGAAAGAAAATTTTCTTCGCTGTTTGTGCCTTTTCTTATGACTCAGTATGGGAATATTTCGTTCATTGAAAAACTCCAAGGACCCAGCGACAGTAAAGGAATTAGACAAATTCCTGCGTTTCTCTGTCAAGCTTGGTGAAGTCAACACGGAGCTTAATTTTCTTAAACGATGCATCGATAAGCATGAGTATCCAAAACATTACTGGAAGAATCTCCGCCGGAATCATATTTACCCTAACTCAAAGACACTAAAACGTCACACACTGAATCACATCGACGCCATCCGCTCACGCATACCCGAACTTGAGCGAAACATATCACAAAGAACCCATGCTTTATATGAACTATCTGATGATGAACGACAAACATTCCAGGATTACGTATCTAGTGTCATACAAAAGCGTTGTGACGATACTACTTCACGACTAACAAAAAGCTTGAAACCATCTGAAACTTTTTCGACGTTTCCACAGAATCCGGAGAAATATGTATTCAATTTCTCGAATTTTCCTCTGACTCCTGTTCAAATGCAAGTCCTATCACTTGGCCCAAAATTTTGCCATGTATCGAGTAAAACCAACGAATTACATACTAAAGTGCAGTTTGAGAATTTAATGTCACAGACATCCGATTTGTCACCGACTTCCGAAAAAGACCTAGATCAATTCAAAGCTTCAATTCTTGACAGCTGTTACAAGTACATTCGTACGCAACCGAGCCACCGTTACCTACTAACCAAAGAACACAGAAGACAACTTAAACAACTTCAAGAAAATAAGGACATAATCCTTGTCCGTCCTGATAAGGGCAGTGGGATTGTAGTGATGAATAGATCCGATTATAATGAGAAATTGACAAATATACTATCAGACAAAACCAAATTCTTTGAATCACCCAACCAAAAAGACACAACCGAAAGAACAGAAAACCTACTCACAAAATTGCTGAAAAGAATGAAAGAAGATTCAGTCATAACACAGGAGGTTTATGAGCAAATAAAACCATGTAGTTCAACTATTCCAAGACTGTATGGACTGCCGAAAGTGCATAAAGAAAATGTTCCACTTCGACCGGTCATAGACATGGTTAACTCACCGTATCACCAAATCGCGAAGTGGCTAGCTGATATCCTCGAACCAGTTAAAAGACATATGACAAAATATAGCCTCAAAGATACATTTGACTTCATCGACTCAGTGAAGGATGTCAACGTGTATGAAAGACAAATGATCTCACTAGATGTCGCCTCTCTATTCACAAGTATCCCCCTGACTGAGACAATATGCAACATTTGTAATTACATAGAAACCAACAACATAGAAGTTCCTCTCCCCATAAACTACCTGAAGGAACTTCTTCTCAGATGCACGTTCAATGTCCAGTTCAAATTCAATGAACAGTTCTATGTACAGAAAGATGGAGTAGCCATGGGGTCTCCTCTCGGTCCACTCCTAGCTGACTGTTTCATGGCGAGTCTTGAAAACAACATCCTTGATCCCTTGATAAGTCAACTGCACTTATACAAGAGATATGTAGATGATACATTTATAATCTGCGATGAAAAATGTGATTTAGATTCTCTCCTGAAAACCTTCAACGCAGCGCATCCATCAATAAGATTCACCTTAGAACGCGAATCGAACAACGCATTTCCATTCCTCGATGTATTACTCACCAGAAGAGACGACTGTACGATCCAAAGATCGATATACCGTAAGCCAACATGGACTGGACAGTTTATCAACTTCCAGAGCTTTGTCCCACTGACCCGAAAGAGAAACTTGGTACGTACATTGTGCTCAAGGATTAGAAAAATCTGCTCGGAAGACACGGTGGAGAAAGAATTAAATTTATTGCGTGAAACCCTACTAGAGAATGGGTATCCGCCAAGATTCATCGACAAAAACATGAAGGAGAAGCCCCCGGTGCCAAATATCACAACGGTTCCTAAGAAGACTCTCTTCATGAACCTAGAATTCAAAGGTGACATCGCAGCGGAAATTCTCAGAAACCGCCTTTCAAAAAGTCTGAAGAAGACATTCCCAACAGCCACTCTACATATAACATTCTCCTGCAGACAGTTAATCCAGTCTAACGTTAAGGACAAGATACCGCCTTTGGCCACTTCAATGTGTATTTATCAATTCACTTGCTCGTGTGGAGCAAAGTATATCGGCCGTACGCAACGTCAAGTCCACAAACGTATCCTGGAACACTGCCCAGCTTGGTTAGCCAGAGGAGAAAAGAAGAATACCAACAGCTCAATCCTCGAACACCTTGTTATCTCCGGACATCGAGCACCCCCACACGAAAGCTTCACAGTGGTACACAGAGTCCCTCAATATCGTACAAAAGGACTCCGGATACGACATCTGTACATAGCCGAGGCACTAGCTATTCGTGACATAAAACCGGACCTATGCATACAAAAACGATACATACATTCTCTAGCCCTACCATGGCCAGAGTAAATTTCTAACTATAATTTTTCTCCTCTCTTTTAATACGTAAGTTCACTGTTATTATTATTATTATTACTGTTCTTAATACTTTTATTATTATTACTATTCCCACCATCCATATTTTATTACTACTCTATGACTGTTTATTAATAACATTGCTTTTTCACACAGATCTTATACAAAACTACTGTATAACCTTTCCACTAGTTCCTGTCCACTCTACACTAGCTTATTGATTAGTCATTATCTCACACTTATTAGGTCATGCCAACTTCTGTCTCCTTTCTAACTTACAATTAGTCATCCCTTCTTACACCTCACACTATGTAGCAGAATTTTCAAGGACAAAGTTTACCAGTATCTGATTGGTCAAAAACTTATGTGTTTAATTATAATTACGATTGTACAGCTCATGAAAATGAATCGTCGAAAAGAAAATTTTCTTCGCTGTTTGTGCCTTTTCTTATGACTCAGTATGGGAATATTTCGTTCATTGAAAAATATTATCCAATCAGAATACTGCTCGTTTATCTTTAGCCTTGTAATTGATTGGTCTTGCGGAGTAGTAATTTAGATAGTTTCACTATTAGATGACAGCAGATGGTTGATATTGTTACGGTAGAAGACAAGAGACTTGCTACAGGAATGTTCTCTTGGAATTTGATATTTCTATACAGGGGAAATTATGGCCATCTTTTATGAAAATGCACAGACCTTGCATGCTCTGCTGCTTCTGCTGCCCTTTGTATTGTGTTTTCTTACATTCTTACAATGTCTTACATTTTTCTCTGCAATCCTGGTTCATCATTTCCTCTCTTTGATATAAAATCTGTCTCTTTGCCCTTTGGTTGTTTTTATGCAATTTAACGTCTCTTTACATACTACTGATAAATCTTGTTAGTAGCACTCGACGCAATATGACTTTATTTCTAGTTCTTAAAAAATTATTGGCAGTTTTCAGTTGACATTATACACCGTCTTTTTATTTTTATCATTTGAATTTATCACTTTGTATAGATAAGATGAAGTCTCCTCTTTACTATGCACCACGTTGTTATTGTGTTATTCTCTGTTGTGTTGTATTCAGGTGAAAAATTCAATTGTCCCCAGTGCGATAAAATGTATTCGACCAAAAATTTCCTTAACCAACATGTACAGGTGCATCATAAAGGTGAGTGATATGTGGTGGCCTGTGTGTGTGTGTGTGTGTTTATTCATGTCAACACTTATGCTGATCGAACTGTTTTTTTTTGTAATTTGAAATGCTTTGTATCGGTTATTATTATTCTTTTGGATTTCGGGTGGAAAAAATGGGCATCAACAAGATATCTCCATTTTGTCTTATTCTCTTCAGTCTTCAGCTGTCACCATGACTGCCCTTCAGCTTTCATCCCCATGTGATCCTCGCACTGATTTTCAGCTTGTCGTATCTCATTTGGGTTCCACTGGAGCGACAGCCTGGCACGCGATGTTACCCAGTGACCTTCTAAGTGTATGTCCTATCCATCTCCATTTCCTTCAGCATACATGTTAAGCAATAGGTTTTCACTTGTTGATTCGTTCTCACAGTTTCTTGTTGCTAATTCTTTGTGGCCATCTGATCTCCAGTATGAAGGTAGCGAAGGCAACTGTGGATAAAAGTTTGCATTAGTCTGTTGGAAGTCCTTATCGTGATATGCCAAGCCTCTGAACTCATATAGAAGAATCGAGTTGAAATTGTTATTGAAAATTCCGACCTTTTTTCTTTATGGTGAGTGTAGCAGATTTACAGAATGATTTCAAAGTGATCAGCGTGTGTCTTGCTCTCCGATTCTGATTTCGACATTCTCTTCCCTACTGGCTGCCTGGTTTTGAAACGACACTTCCTATATAAATGAAGGAAGTAATCTCTTGTCTGTCTATTCCGCTGATATTGATTGTTGGTTGGTTGTCTTTTCTATGTTTACTTGAAGTCATGTCTTCGCTGTCTGTCAACTTGTTGCCTTTGCCTGTAGGTCTTCGAATTTATATGACCTTACAAGTAAATCATTCACGAAATCGAGATCTTCTCGGGTCTTCTCATTGGGCCAATGTATTTCTGTCTTCTCGTTCCTGACATACAGTCAGTCTTTGACATAATCCAGTCCATCACAATTATAAATGTGATCGGTGGTAATAGACAGTGAGCTTTGTCATACTCGTGTATTCACTTCTGTTATGTCGCTGCTGCTGAGTGGTTAATAGTAGTTTTCCCCGTCGCCAAATTGTTATGTACTCGTCGCCAAATTGTTGCTATGTACTGGTCGAGAATTTAATAGTCCTGACGCAGGAAAGACGCAAATCAGAAGACCACTAGGTTTGCGATGATACTTCTATTTTCCAAACACAAGGAGAATGCAAAAGTGGTATCACACCAGTGTCACACAAGATTGTGAGAGCGAAATATATATGAATGTCCAGACAAGTGTGTGAACAAATCAATAGACAGTTTTAACATGAATGGCTAATTATAATGGTGTATCGATCCATATATACATAGCAAAATATAGCAGACATGTCAACAACCACACATATAATATGGATATATGTCACCAAGCAATGGACTGTCAACAAACACTCCTATTATATATAATATGAGGGGAATATACATTGTTAAAGGAGACAGGTTCATCAAAGTGAATTGGTCACAGACTAAACGAGCAAACAGAAAGAGAGACCACCATACATATATATATATATATATATATATATATATATATATATATATATATATATATATATGGATACATATCAACTTCAAACGCTTCTCTGAGTTTCAGTGGCATGTTTCATTGTCATGTAGCTGTTGAAGGAAATTGATAAAGTTTTATGACACTGCATTCGCTCCCACCAAATGTAAGTTGTTGCTACAGGACTAGACTACATTGACTTCTAGATTAGAAATAGGAAGTGAAGTGATAGAGTACGTTGACCGCTTCACTTATTCGGGAAGTACCATCAGCCCCAACGGGTGGATCTCTGACGAAATCTCATCACGGATACAGAGGGCTAGTTTTGCATATGCCGGTCTACGCCGTCTCTGTCGTAGACATGATATCCTGCTGTCTGTTGACCAAAGGACGTGTGTACTGCTCAGCAGCCCGCTCCGTCCTCCTTTATGGCTGTGAGACCTGGCCATTGAGAGTGGAAGACATGAAAAGCCTGACTTGCCGTCTTTGATCATAGGTTCTTGCGCTGTATCTCCCGTGTGAAGTGGTATAATAAGGTGAGCCACATTGAGATTAGGCATCGGTCGAGTGCTAGGTAGGGAGGGGAAATCAGTGGACGAGGCTGTGAAGTTACGCTAATTAAGATGTTTAGGATATGTGTTACGGATGCCTAGTCATCGCCTTCCTCGAGCAATATTAGTGGATGTAGGGTCAGGCTGGAGAAAAGCTAGCGGCGGTCAAACAAAAACTTGGCACCGGTCAATGAAATCCACAACATTTAGTCTAAGCCACGTAGGAAGGTGTAGACTAGCTGGTTGGGATCCTCAGGACGGTGAAAGCCAATGGTTGGAGACAATTGGTGATATGGCTCAAAATCGTTCTCGATGATGGCGCAGATGCATCCAATCCTTGTGACATAACACCCAATATAACCATACTGTTCTTCGATAAATCTATTCATTTTGCCGTATATATCTATTGACTGTCTCTGTTTTGCATTTCTTTTTACTTCTCTTCCTTTTTGTGCTAAGTGAAATGTGGTGACTCGAACTGTTGCACATCGGTGTAAATTTCTACGATGAAACTAGTCAGGATGACACTGCGGCCTGTAGTGATGAACCAGTTTCTAAATTACCTCACCGTCATCTCTGTCGTAAGCCTTTTCAAAGTTTATGGAGTCGACGTTGAGAGATAAACTTAACAAGCACTTTATGCTCTGTTCCATGACAATACGTAGAGTTGCAGTTTGATCTGCACATGATTTGCCTTTCCTAATTCCTCGTCATTCTATGTGGGCGAAGTTTTGCATCCACTATATTTTTTATTCTCTCCAGGATGTGTTTCGCTCGGTGTGGAGAAGACCTTGTTTATGCATTAGTTGTTGTAGAAGCAGGCGTAAGTCACCCTTCTTTGGCAGTTTGGTAAGATTACCCTTCTTCCAGTCAGTAGGTACCTTTCCTTCCTTTTAAACTTCTTGGTATAGTGACGTGAGGATATCCACTGCGGTCTCTAGATCCGTTTTCTGTTGGGTTTTTCCTAGCACATATGCTATCGATTCACAACATAATTTTTACACATTAAAACCTAATTTACTGATCATGTAAAGTAAGTTTATTATTAACCATAATTTCTAATCATTTTGTGTTTTCTATGGAGAACAGTAAAGCTCTGTCTTGTCAATCGGTCATCCATGTCTTAGTGTAAGAGTACTATTCGACTGATCAATCATTTAATGTCGTTCCCTGAAGGTATTAGTAGAACGACAACCTCGAGTCTACCGTCTTCTTGATCACAAGAAGAATAAACCCAAAGGAGGCATAAAAATATGAAATAGATTTAGATGAATAAATAACCTAAGTTATATATTGCACTGTATTGACTGCATTGTATCACAATTGTGTCAATGGTCATCGTTCAACTAGTAAAAACAGTAATGAAGTGGGTATCTCATCCAGGTAGGTGGCCGACCAGCGTGTCACATCGACTGCCAGTTATCTTTTTTAACAACTTGTCAATTTTCAAAAGAATGAATACTGAACAAAGAATACTCTTTTCGATAACCCCTTCATCATCAGGCTCTACAGTTATATACACACATTATAGTGAATGAATGAATTAGTGTTATGAACAACATTAATGTTTCTGTTTAAATAACATCGAATCAATAATATTGATGGATTACAGTTCAATAGCATCAACATAAAATAACCTGAATGTCAGAAGAATTAGGAAGGATAATATTACAAATTCATGAATTTATAGTCTCTACTGAAGGTTAGCCTGGACAGTAGTAGTGGCTAGCTGGACTTGTTTCTTTTGGAGACAGAACACTGGTTACTTGAGGCGAATCGCAATAGCCTTTGATGTTTGGAGCATGAGGTGCTTCGATGTTTTTGGCAATTTATTTGGCAACCGGTATATTATAGAGAAGGATTCTTCTACGCTGGCTGGTTTGTACCAGATGTTCCAATATCGAGCTGTTAATAGTTTTCACTACACTTTTACTTAGCCATGCTGGGAGATGTTCTCGAGTGAGCACGAAAAATCAAGCCTATATAACTGGCTCCACTAAAGGCGCAGTTGAGTTGGTAGATACAATTTGAAGTGGCCAGCTAGTCTAGATACCTCATCTTTCAGTCGAGGTAGCACCACTGTAACAACAGAAGACAAGGGCTGGCAACAGATCGTTTTATTACGAAAATCAACACGTATTTATATATATTTTATATGCATTAATAAGGCTTATGCAAGCAGAAAAAGGCAGTCTTCTGATTGGTTGTTTCTCGGAAGTTAAGCAGACAAACACAGTCTTATGATTGGTTGTGTTCGATATTTCTCGGAAAGTAGAGCCATCTATCTGCGAATCATATTTGTCCACATTTAGGTTTGCTGTGATTGGTTGTTGAAACAGCCTTGTTCACGGCCAATATTAGTGACCTAGACATTAACGTAGATTAGTGCCAACCAATCGGCTAGCAGCCTGCTCTCACCACACTCGTCCCCCCGTCAAATAGCTTTGTGCGCAGACGTTCCGACCTTCTGGGTGCTACATCCTCTAGTTGAGGATTGTTACTGACCGGCTTGTCCCACTGTACCCATCTTTGTAGCTGACTGGCGTTAACTCGTTTCTGTTTATCACCTCTTCGGATGGTATATACTTGACCCCGTCTTTTTGTGATTGTGTATGGTCCTTCCCACTTTGGAAGGAGTTTCCGTGAACCTAGCCCGCCTCCAACTGTATATCTCCTGTCTCTACACTTCACTTGGTCCCCGACTGCAAAGGTAATGCACTGCGTCCTTTCTTTCATCTGAGACTTCGTGACATCACTGCGCTGCTTCCGTATTACATTCTTGACTGCCTCTTTCCTCTCTGCTTTTAATTTCGTCGTACTCCACTTTTGGTGCATGGGCCAGGTCTCATTGTGTACCGGTAATCGTGGTTTTCTGCCATACATCAGTTGGAAGGGTGACTTCTTCGTTGTTTCCTGAGTGGTAGCCCGATGTGTTAGTAAAATCAGTGGAAGCTCCGTTTCCCAGTTCCCGCCCTTCGAAGCCAGCCACTCTTTCAGTGTACGGTTGTTTCTCTCCGTTAGGCCATTCGTTTGTGGATGGTATGGGGTCGTTCTGATCCTCTTGATGCCCAGCTGTTGCAAACGGGAAGTAAACTCTTCACTCTCGAAACAGGGACCTTGGTCTGTCAGTATTGTCTTCGGTACGCCGTGGTCTGCAACAATGTGTCTAACTACTGCATCTGTCACGGTTCTTGCACGTTGGTCTGGGATTGCTACGGCGTCTACCCATCGTGTCGCGTGTTCCGTCATCACCAAGAGGTACTGATTACCATTGGATGTCTGAGGAAATGGACCCATGACATCTACGGACCACAAGTCACCTATCGCGGTAACTGGAATCGACTGAAGTGGTGGTCGTATATACCGGTCACCTTTCATCAGCTGGCACCGTGGACATCCAAGTACGTATCTTGCTACGTCTTCTCTCATACCTGGCCAGTACATACTTTGTCTTAGGAGGTCGGTCGTTCTGGCCACGCCTGTATGCGCTAGCTGGTGACATTCTTCTATCATGTCGTGGCGCGACGATTGAGGTATGACAGCCAGCCAGCTTCCGTCGTTCTCTCGCCAGGTCAGAGTCCCGTAGGCATTCACTCTGAGTCGATCCCTCTGTCTGAGTAGTGTGGTTAGCTCCTTACTCGCCGTAGTTTGATCCACTTCTATTCCGTTGGTGATCACCTGTATTACTGTATTCAGCGTATCGTCCAACCTCTGCCTACGTGCAAGTCTTAGTGGGTCTTGTTCTACTGCATGCACTCCGTAAGCGACCTCGGGCAACTCAGACTCATCTTCTGGTCTCGATAACAAATCTGCCAAGACATTTTCACTTCCAGGAACGTGTGAGATCGTAAAATCGTATTCCTGAAGACGCAACATCCACCGTGACAACTTCCCCCGTGGGTCTCTCGCTGTCTTCAAAAATTGTAGCGGCTTATGATCAGTTTCGATGTGGAACCGCCGGCCGAGTAAATAAGGTCTCCATTTGTCGACTGCCCATACCATTGCTAAACATTCTTTCTCTATCGTTGAATACTTTCTCTCTGTGAGGGTCAACACCCTACTGGCATACTCAACGATTCCCTCGTCCTGTCTTAGGACCGCACCTATAGCGTAGTCACTGGCATCTGTGCACACTGTGAACTGTCTTCCTGGCACAGGTAGTTTTAGCGTCATTTGTTGGTGGTCGAGCAGCTGTTTAATTCTGTCGAATGTCCTCTGCGATTCTTCCGACCAAACAAACTTTGGCTCACCTAGTAGCCTGTATAGAGGGGCTGCTATCTCATTGAAGTTCTTCACGAAGCGACTATAAAACGCTGCTCTACCCAAGAATTGTCTCAGTTTTCTCTTTGAATTCGGGGCTGGAATCGTTTTAATCGTCAAAATTTTCTCCGGCAGTGGTTTAATCTCACCATTTCCCACTTTATGTCCCAACAGAGTAACATTCTTTTTGGCTATCTGAGACTTGGTTTTGTTGACGCGTAGTCCAAACTCTTCGATGCGTCGCAGCACGGCTTCTACATGGTTGACGTGATCGTTTTCGTTTGACTGTATATGACGAGATCATCACCATAAACCTCCACGTTTTTCAAGTTCTTAAGTAATAGCTTCATCAGTCGTCTGAACGTAAACGGTGCACCTGCTAGTCCAAACGGCATGCGTTTAAATCGATATTGCGTCTGACCCACGATGAAAGCCGTCTTATCTCTGTCACTTTGTTTTATCGGTATCTGCCAGTATCCTGAGCGAAGATCGAGAACCGAAAACACATTCGCACCTTGTAGGCGATCTAAGGTTTCTACCACTGTTGGCATGGCACACGGTCTTAACTCTGTCATACTGTTTAACTGTCGGAAATCAACACAGAATCTATATTTCCCATTCGCTTTTTTTACTAACAGCACTGGAGAGTTGTATGGGCTATCAGCTTCCTCAATAATATCATCTTTTAACATCTCTTGCACTTGTCGCTCCACTTCGCCTTCCAGATGACATGGAACTCTTCGCGTTAAAAATGACCTTACTTTAGGATCACTTAACGGAATTTCATGATTCACCTTATCGCAATAACCGTATGGGTCCCATCTCCAGTGAACAGATGATCGTATTTATTAATTAACTCTGTCACATTGTGTACCGTCGACAGCTTAATCGCTGCTATCTCGCTGGTCTCATACATGTTGATATGCCCGTATTTCGTGATCACCACGTTCGCTTGCGTGTCGATTATGGCACCAATCTCACGCAGAAAATCCGCTCCTAATATCGTTCGCTGTAGTTCGGGTACAACAATGAAAGGAAACGTCACCTCGCAGCCACCAACAACGACCGTACAGTTCGATCTACCCGTGATACGCAACACATACCCGCCTACTGTTTGTACTGTCAATGAACACGGATTAACACTCTTACATAAATTCTTATCTATTAACGACACGGCCGCCCTGTATCTATCAAACATACTACTTCTCGATCATTCACTCGCAACTTCGAATACAGAGCGCCTTTCTCAATAGCCCCCACTAAACCTAGGTTCATACGAAAGAAAGAACAAGCATTATACCGTCTGAAATTTTTTCTTTTTCGCCTTTCTGGGCAGTATCTTCTCCAGTGTCCCGGCTTACCGCATTCAAAACACCGGTCTTTTCTATCAGCCAACTTTAACGCCGCCACTTCCCGCTGCAATGCTTCAATTTTTGCTCATATTCGTTTGGTTTTGGTTGGTCTATAGCGGCTACCGTTGTGCTCAGCAGCTGTCTGGTCACCTTCGCCAGCTCACTAATATCCATCGGCTGCGTTGCGTTAACCAGTTTTAATCGCTGAGAAATGTGGTCGGGGACACTCTCGATGAATTGGGAAGACAGTAACTGCGCTTCTGATTCTTCATCTAAAGTGGGAAGCGCGCGTCGAAGTAGATTAGTCAGTTTCACCGCCAACACTAGCGGGTCTCCATCAGGTCCAAGCTTCATTGACCGGAACTGCTGCATTGCTAGCTGTCTGTCTGTTTCGCTGTCAAACTCGGACACTAGTCGTTCAACCAATTTCTTCCAAGACGCTGTGCCATTTGACCTGTCTACGCTGTCATATGCAGCCTTCGCTCGGCCTCTCAACAGCGTCCCCAGGACAACTGCCTTCGCCGCCTGCTCCTTGACACCCACCAGCTCAGCAACGGCTTCGAAGTCACGTAAGAAGCTCCGTATGTCACCTTCTTCAAACGCAGCTGGCCACGGGATCTTCATCTTCTTGGAGGCAGCGACACCAAATGTAACAACAGAAGACAAGGGCTGGCAACAGATCGTTTTATTACGAAAATCAACACGTATTTATATATATTTTATATGCATTAATAAGGCTTATGCAAGCAGAAAAAGGCAGTCTTCTGATTGGTTGTTTCTCGGAAGTTAAGCAGACAAACACAGTCTTATGATTGGTTGTGTTCGATATTTCTCGGAAAGTAGAGCCATCTATCTGCGAATCATATTTGTCCACATTTAGGTTTGCTGTGATTGGTTGTTGAAACAGCCTTGTTCACGGTCAATATTAGTGACCTAGACATTAACGTAGATTAGTGCCAACCAATCGGCTAGCAGCCTGCTCTCACCACACCACCATCGGTCGTGTAGAGAATAATACGTGTAGTTCGCCAGAGCATTAAAAGTTCTTTGAACTGATTTTCTTAATTTCTTCGTAATTATCTCTCTTGGTATATCGCCCATGAATTGTAGTCGTATATAAAAGGGGGTTCTCGTTTTTACAGATAGTGATGAGTAGTCCTTTCCCGTTTTTTCAATTGTTTATCTTTTCTATCATTTCAAAGACGTCATTTATTATTATTATGATTGTTGTTTCATGTGTTTGTCAATTTCTACTCTACTCTACTCTGATCTGATCTGACCGATCTGCTGACTGATTGACTGACTGACTGTTTCTATTTACTTATTTATTATTTGAAGGTGTATACTTTTCGTGCAGCAACTGTGATCAAAAGTATGCCACGAAGTATCGATTAAATAAACATATGAAACGTTGTATTATAAAGTGAGTAATACACTAACAACTTTACTCAATCACAAATGGTTTACTTTTATTTTTTAATTTTGATTAATCTTCAAGAAAAAACACCAATATTGATTTTATTTTTTTGCTTCTTCTCTGTTTCTGTCACCTTATTCCTTTGAAAACGATTTGACCTGTCGATGTATTCATAGAGTGGGTAGGTGGTGGCAAAATGGACAATGGTAACTTGCAGTGAAAGATGTTGTGAAGTAGTCGAAAAAATAATAAAATCATTTGGATAATTCTAATTTTATAAAATATTTAAGGGAAGGGTGAAGTAGCCATGTAACGATGGCTAAGATATTGAAAGTGACTGTCTACGAATTTCTCTTGAATACATGGGTCTAGCTGGCTTCTTCTTGGGTGGATTCCGATGGCTTCAGCTGTATGTAGAAGACAAATTCGTAAGACAAAATTTAGATTAGTTGGAACGCGATAAATAACTTTAAATGGTGTGATAACATCAACTTTATACTCATTGTCTACATAGTGTACTAATACAGAGCCATGATGAATGAATCTTCTCAACGCCTTGTTTGTAATTATGAGGGATAATGTTCGGAAATACCGATCATGAACCTGCGTCATTATACGCCTAATGTTATATAAACCATCTTTTATTAGATAATACCTTTGCAGTGCTGGTACTAATGAACTGTTGCTACGGAAAGAGTTCTACATCGTAGTGGTTGGTTGCAGCGTTCACAACATGTTTCATTTTCCCCGTAATTTCAAACACATAAAATTTGAGTTAGTGATACGCTGTGAACCTAGCAAAATATTTTTTCCCTTGGAATAGTGTGTTCATTAACATACCTTTCTTGACACTGGCTCACTTGTGACAATCACTGCAACGGGTAGCATGATCATCAGTACTTCCACTGAGGTGACACATTCTGTCATCATAATACCTCCACAAGGATGAATCCTTGTTCCCTAATTCCAATCCGTCTTATATAAAAGACAATATTAGAATACTTCGTGTAAATTAGATTTAACACACAAGACCATCATTTTCAATTAATGAGTAGCTTATTAGCTTGATGTTTACGTCCTAGGTCATTGCTGAATTCGCACCCATTGGGTGTTTAAAGTTTAACTTCACCCGTGTTGAAGGGTGTTAGTAGTCGTAGTGTTTATTGACAGCGTAACACATATGAGAATATTGACGACAACAAGCGGAGGTGCTTCAACGCCATTTGTTTTGCCAGGATTATAACAGCCAAAACAGTCGGTGTTCTCTATGCTTTACGCCTTTCAACAAATTGGCTAAACAAAGTATAAAAGCATAAGAAAGGCGTTTACACATTTGATATCTTGTCATAGGTGTCGTGAGCAGCTGTTTTTTTCTCAGTTAATGATAGATCACAGGAATAAGTGCCTCCCCTCCACATACTCCCTCCGTCTGTCCGCAGTCTTGTTGGATGATGTGCATTATACCTCAGTTGATAGACTAAATACTACTCTGCGATATTTTCGTGATTGTTTTGACTTTACTGTAATTCGTATACTCCTTGTACCTAACTCGACCCCTGAAGTGATCTGTGAGGGATGAATTTGATGTCGTTATGTTTTATAAAGTGAATAGCATGGTGTAATGACGAAGGCTTCATTTATTTATTTATTTTTGATTACAGCTTGATTCCACATCGTATTTTTGGTACAACTGTGGAATTTTCAGCGGTGATATCGGTAGCCCAAATTTCGAAGGCCGACCATAGATATCAGGTGTGCGTCGGCGTTCTTGTAGACGAGAATTTCCAATTGAAATTGGGACTGAAGATGTTGACTAGTAGGTGACTGAACACTGCAACCAAATCATCATTCATATCGCAGAGATCGACCATGTCAACATGACAATCCTGGTTATTCTAACTTTTCAAGTTCGATCACTGATCGATGTCAGTAAGAGAATCATTGAGTACTAGGGACTACTGGACAGCTGTCGCTTCCGCATATTTTGAGAATGATGGGCAGGATGTACCCACCTCCAGGATTTTAAATAAGGGTCTTCCGGTTACAAGGCACGGTCGTAGACTATTCAGCTAGTGGGATCCGATCCAATGGCCAGTGAACTCTAGCTTCTATCGATTCGTGATTATAACGTGACAGACCACCAGCTAGAAGTTTAAGTTTCATGAGTCAGTCGGTTCACAGTGCATGGATGGTCTAGGAGCGCGCCTTGCAACCGGAAGATCCTCGACACGAACCGTGGAGGTGGGTGCGTACAATGAATTAGTCCGAAACTAGGCGGATGGAACAACAACTGTCCAGTACTCCCTCCTAACTGGTTTTCAACGGTTCTCTAACTGATATGAATAATCCGTGATGAAACTTGAGAAACAGACCAACAAATCCTTGGAAACAAACTCTTGACTATTCTGTGTAACATTGTGTACTGTTTATTTTCATTGGAAAATAAATTCATGTCTTCTGTATGTGTGTTGCTTATTATTTATTATTATTATTGTTATTCTTTCCATTTTAGAAAAACTGATGTCTTCGAAGAATTCATCGAAGCGGAGAGCTGATGAATGAACAACAGCTGTTTTTTATCCTTATGCAGATGAAGTGTTTTTTTTTACCTGTTAAATGTGATTATTTTTTTTACTTTACTATTATTATTATTGCTATTGCTGTGCCTCACCCTGCCTCCCGACAGTACCCACCACCACCGACACCCATTCAAGAAGTAATTCAAAGTCAGTTACAGGATAAACTCTCAATGTCACTGTCACTAACTGTGTGTACATATCCAGATTTTCTAAACGTATGTGATGTTTAACTACAAACATTCTGCACATGTATATTTTTGTTTATTTTTTATACTTTTATATGGAGTGTATACCAAAGAAAACCTTGTGAAATAAATTGTGTTGTGTGATCCAGTTTGATTTTCGTTATAGTAGTATCCGTTTGTGTATCATGAGGTGTATATATTGCCGATATTTTTTGTCATTGTTGATTTCACCTCTTGACTGCGATTAATAACCAACCAACTAGTTGATGTGCTCACGGTGTGCTTACCTGAGACATGGATGAAATGTACTGGCGTAGAAATTGTCGAGCTGTATTGTAGGGTTTAATCGCGAATTAATGTCAGTTCTGGAACCATTGTATAAAGGTCATCAGGGAGTAGTGTGGATAGCTGTTTTGTCGTACGCACTCACGACCCCACTGCGATTTGAACGCAGGTTATTCTGGTTTCCTGGAGTTTAAGTGAGTTACTTGCTGATGATAGTGGCTGGTGGCTCTGGTGCTCAGTTCAGGAATCAGCAGAAGTTACAATTCGTGGTCCGTTTGATTCCCACCAAATCGACTGATTGGTCAACGAGCTTGGCGTGATAACTTGGAGGCTCTGGGTTTGATCCTTTGTGGATAGGTTCATGAGTACTGAAGAGTTGGAACATCTAGACGAGACGGCTAACTAAGGACTCTATGGTGTTTAATGATTCTCTAACTATCATCCATCCATGAGCAATTTGAAACTAATTACACCTCTACAAGCTAACTCTAGTTTTTTCATTTCAACGGAAATTCATCTTATCATAGTGTGTATTTGTGCGTAGGTGGTATAGCGGTTAGGACGCTCACCAACCATGCACATGGTCCGGGGTTTGATGCCCGGCCACCGACACACTCTTTTACCTCGCTGAGCCAGAAATAATTCTGGTAAAGGGGAAAGGTTGGGCATGAGGCTAGCAACCCCATCCTGTACCAAATAAGCAGTGCTATAGAAACTTCAAGCCACTAGCTTGAAGGTGTCCTATGTTCCACTGGGGAATGTGAAGGAAGAAAATAGTGTGTATTTCATCTTTACAGTTGTGCTGTTACTGTCTCACGCTTATTTCACAACTATCCTGTTTCGTCTTAGTTATGTACAGTTGAGGTGTATGTGTGTATAGTACACGATTACTGATTTAGCGTTTGAACAGAGTGATGAATTAGTCATGTTGAGTGATGAGTGTCAGTGGAGGTGGGAAGAAGATTTAGATATTAACTAACCATGGGATTTTCACTGATAAACTTACTCAGAGACAATCTTTGTTAAGTTTTCAGCTCCATGTGAGTCATTCAGGCGTGGTAATTTTATTTAGCAAATACGATGTCAAGTGAAACGAGTCGATCAGAGTGAATTAAAGATTACTGTAGAATAATGAAATATGTTGAAAGATGAACTTCAGGTAATTTGAAAGAAACAAGCAGGCATTGATATGTATGCACTACCACACAGCTTACCCTTGAATAGGATAGTTCAGAGAAACAGCCTTAAGATGTAATTTAGCTATGTGAAGGTTGATTGTAATCGATAACCAGATGTTCAGTTGTATCAAGTGTGAGAACTTCTTTGTCAACTAAGGTGGATGTTCTCTTGGTCTTCACATGCGAGAATATGGGTTGGAGGTTAGGTTGTAAGAGAAGACGGAAGTTGGCTTTGAAAACAGGATCATCCAGGGGAGCTGGGATTATACTATGACAAACTTAACTGCACTGACAGGATGAGAAATGCTGTGAAGTTCCATGCAAATACTAACTAAGAAAATGAATAGGGAAAGAAGTAACCCGGAAACAATTGGAAATACCAGTGTACATCTATACACAGGCGTGCATTACTGACAAAAATTATCAGTAGTATGTACAGATAAGTTCATCGAAAAAAAATCATCAGATAGCGGAGAGATGGATTTCACGTAGAAGAGGTGAAATGATGAACCAGTATTTCGGCGAAACATGGAAGTCATGTAAAGAATACAACGAAACACAATACATACGTAGGGCAGCAGGAGAACACGGTAGATCTGAGCAAATGATGATTTTCATAAAAGACGGACATCATTCCCTGTATATAGCCATATCGAATTCCAAGTAAACAATCCGTTGCTAAGTGTCTTGTCTTCTACGGCTACCACATAATCTCTCTACAGATTTTAAGCGTTGGATAATGTTTCTTTATTAAAGTTAGGATCATAATCGCTGGATATTTGATCATTTCAACATCATTCCGTCTATTATCCATTGACAGGCTTAATCTTCTATCTAGCAAGCGAATGCCATCTCCGTTCTCCATTATAACTTAATTGACACTGATGACTGTCTGACATCTACGGTATACGTGGATTTTCCTAGGTCTCCGTCTTTTACAATATCCCAAAAGAAACGGGTCGATTTTCGACACCATTTCAGACTGAGTTAAAAACCAAACCTGCATCCGAACACACGTGTCTCAACGTGTGTAGGTGACAAACAGACTGAGCAAGTAAATACTTACCTTTCAAATGAATCCTGGTCAATGAAAATACTCCATAATCTCTAATAAATGTGAACAAAACGCGGAATTCTCGTTGAGTCATAAAGACTATTCACAGTAGGGAATCTTCCTCATCGACGAAGTTATCTTTTAAGCAAGTGCTGTCGTAATTATATTTACTAAGTACACGTAGAAGTCTATTACTATTGTCGTTTGGGGGTTTGAAATGATAAAACATAATAGTATCTTTATTCTGACCAGTATTTATATATGCTGCACAGAATTTACAGTGGAATATATATGGTGCCCTCGTTTTTTTATATGCGAGGTCTTGAATTAAAGAAGTAATTGATAGTAGGTCGCGTGACACAATGTCCGTCTGACCTGAAGCGCAAACCAATCCCTTATGATATTTCTTCTTCGTCTTTTTCGAGAAGTTCTTGACATCTAGCTTAAAGCTGCTTCAAATAGAGGTAAGAGGCCCAAGGACTCATCTGAATTATCGAAGACTTCAGGTGGTTAGTTTTATCACTGAGGCATTAGTAGTGTAATGACAGAAGACAAGGGCCAGGCCAGCCAGATCGTTAATTGAGAAAATCAACAGGTCTTAATAGATTTTTTGTATATTACTATTCGTTATTATTAGGAGAGACACAGCGTCTTCCGACTGGTTGTTTTCCTGCTGAAGGTTATTCTGTCATTTGTTTGTTGCTGTTTCTTAGACGGTCCTGTGATATAGTGCTATAGTGATATACCTGCTAATCGTATCCGCCCACGTTAAGTCTTTGTTTTTGTGTTTTTCTCGAGACCCAGATTTGGGACGTAAACATTGACGTGAATTGATGTCTAGCAATTTCGGCTAGCTAACAGCTCTCACCACATTAGTTTGTGCCAAAAAATATTAGGAACAGTTATCTCGTGTATTCAGATATGTTTCCACCCATGGTTTAGTAGAAAAATGTAAATGCAGGCTGTAAATATTTTAAATGACTCGTCAGAGTTGAGAATACTATCGGAAATCATATCTTGATAGATCAAAAGCAAACTGTCCTAGAGGAACTAACTATATGCCATGTAATGACGAGGGCTTTTTCTTCTGGTAGCCCAAGTTTTAAACAGACCGCCGGAGAAATATTTTCCAAGGGGCAAAAAGAAGCCATTCAATAGTCAATAACACAATAGAAATAAGGGTTTCCAATTGTTACTAGATAAGAAGTAATGGTGTCATTGCGTGTTCGTCCTCTTGACAAGTGTTGTACAGATCAGCCCCGACCGAAAGCTGCTGCCTTGACGTGGTGGTCGGACTCGAACACCGCAATGATCAATTCAAACTATGCTGGCTGAGACTTATGTCTCTTGAGGTCCTACCGTGCCAGGCAGGTTGTTTGGATAGCGGTTAAACAAAAAGCAGCTACCCAATCCAACATCATGTCCAATACAAAATTACAAAATTTCATGCCGGATCGGCCGTGGCCCGGATTAATAACGACCGCGCTTCCTGCTGCCGTGTCACAGGGCAGGAGTGATAAGTATGCTACTGAGGCACACCAAACAAAAGAGAACAAACAAAAACAGGTCGCGTGTGACCGGCCTCAAGCAGTTGTCCCCTGGGCTCTGCGGTTACGCAACCAACTTCCACGGTGTGGGCAGCCGGGAAGTAACAATCGCCCTCACAATCCGAAACGCACACGAAACCTCTCTATTACTCACTCATCTTTGTCTTCATCATCATCTCTATCATCTTGCCTTCCTTCCACTGATGCAACTCCTCGACTTGATAGCTCTCCACTTCCTCCCACTCTGCGTCCACTAAAAAAGATGGAAGCCAAAAAACCGCCACCAACAGCCTCTTAAAGCCGCGCCACCAATTTCATATAGGAGCTCTTAATGTTAGGACACTTTGCCAAATAGGACAACAAGCATCACTAGCCAAGACCCTGGCATCACGAGCCATTGATGTATGCTGTGTTTCAGAAACACGCATACAAGACCCAAGTGTGGTTATTCACCTAACCCCACCTGGCCAACAGGATGAATCTACAAAATTCACCTTGAGGGTGTCAGGAGATGCCACAGCCAGTTCACGAGGATTAGCTGGCGTTGGGATAGCTCTGAGTACTAGGGCAGAAAAGACATTGCTTGACTGGATCCCAGTAGATAGCCGAATGTGTGCTGTCCGCCTGAACGGATCAGTAAGAAGGAGGAAGGACTGCACTACTCGCCGATGCCTTTTCGTAATCTCCGCCTACGCCCCCACTGACTGCAGTTCAGATGAAATGAAGTTGCATCCACTCCTTGTGACTTATGATCTCCAATGAAACTGTTTTGTTTTTCTTTATTACTCCTTTGTGTCACACCTCTGCTCACTGTTTCTATTATGCTTTTCTTGTACTTTCTTCTCTTGCTTCGCATGCTACACGGAGTGTGGCGACATGAACTTCCGCACATTTGTGCAAAGTTCTATGTCGAAAACAGACAGACAGACAGATCAGCCAATGAAACCCAATAAAAAGAATAAAAGGAACATGTAAGAGTGAGAGTGTGGTGTATTA